AAAATGTGAATTTTTGTGTGAAAAAATGGGAATTTTTGGGAGAAAAAATGAGATTTTTATGTGAAAAAAATGCGAATTTTTGTGTAAAAAATGGGAATTTTTGTGTAAAAATGGGAATTTTTGGGGAAAAAATGGGAATTTTTGCGTGAAAAAACTGGGAATTTTTATGGAAAAAAATGGATTTTTTATGGAAAAAAATGGGAATTTTTGCACAAAAAAAAGGCAATTTTTGTGTAAAAAATGTGAATTTTTGTGTGAAAAAATGGGAATTTTTGGGAGAAAAAATGAGATTTTTATGTGAAAAAAATGCGAATTTTTGTGTAAAAAATGTGAATTTTTGTGTAAAAATGGGAATTTTTGAGTAAAAAAATGGGAATTTTTGAGTAAAAAAATGGGAATTTTTGTGTGAAAAAAATGCGAATTTTTGTGTAAAAAAAGTGAATTTTTGAGTAAAAAAATGGGAATTTTTGTGTAAAAATGGGAATTTTTGAAGGAAAAAATGGGAATTTTTGAGTAAAAAAATGGGATTTTTATGGAAAAATTTGGGACTTTTTGTGTGAAAAAAATATGAATTTTTGTGTGAAAAATGGGAATGTTTCTGTGAAAAAATGGGAATTTTTGGGTAAAAAAATGGGAAATTTTGTGTAAAAATGGGAATTTTTGGGGAGAAAAAATGGGAATTTTTGAGTAAAAAAATGGGGATTTTTGAGTAAAAAAAGGGAATTTTTGGGGAAAAAAATGGGATTTTTAGAGGAAAAAATGGGATTTTTTTGAGTAATAAATGGGAATTTTTAAGTAAAAAAATGGGAATTTTTGCGTGAAAAAAATGGGAATTTTTATGGAAAAAAATGGATTTTTTATGGAAAAAAATGGGAATTTTTGCACACAAAAAAAGCCAATTTTTGTGTAAAAAATGTGAATTTTTGTGTGAAAAAATGGGATTTTTTGTGTGAAAAAATGGGATTTTTTTTGTGAAAAAATGGGATTTTTTGTGTGAAAAAAATGGGATTTTTAGAGGAAAAAATGGGAATTTTTGAATAAAAAAATGGGAATTTTTGTGTAAAAAAACGGGCATTTTTGCTTGAAAAAATGGGAATTTTTGGGAGAAAAAATGGAATTTTTATGTGAAAAAAATGCGAATTTTTGTGTAAAAAATGGGATTTTTTGTGTGAAAAAAATGGGATTTTTAGAGGAAAAAATGGGAATTTTTGAGTAAAAAAATGGGAATTTTTATGTGAAAAAATGGGAATTTTTGTGTGAAAAAAGGGAATTTTTGTGTGAAAAATGGGAATTTTTATGGAAAAAAATGTGAATTTTTGTGTGAAAAACTGGGAAATTTTGTGTAAAAATGGGAATTTTTGGGGAGAAAAAATGGGAAATTTTATGGGAAAAATGGGATTTTTTTGAGCAAAAAATGGGAATTTTTGTGTAAAAATGGGAATTTTTGTGTAAAAATGGGATTTTTTGTGTGAAAAAAATGGGATTTTTAGAGGAAAAAATGGGAATTTTTGAGTAAAAATATGGGAATTTTTTGAGTAAAAAATGGGAATTTTTGGGAGAAAAAAATGGGAATTTTTAAGTAAAAAAATGGGAATTTTTGGGAGAAAAAATGGGAATTTTTGTGTTAAAAAATCAGAACTTTTAGTGTAAAAAATGGGAATTTTTGCATTAAAAATGGGAATTTTTGTGTAAAAAAATGGGAATTTTTGAGTAAAAAAAGGGAATTTTTGGGGAAAAAAATGGGAATTTTTATGGGAAAAATGGGAATTTTTGAGAGAAAAAAATGGGAATTTTAGTGTGTAAAAAATGGGAATTTTTGCGTGAAAAATGGGAATTTTTGAGCAAAAAAATGGGAATTTTTGTGTGAAAAAATGGGATTTTTGTGTGAAAAAATGGGAATTTTTGTGTGAAAAAATGGGAATTTTTGGGAGAAAAAAATGGGATTTTTTTATGAAAAAAATGTGAATTTTTGAGTAAAAAAATGGGAATTTTTATGTGAAAAAATGGGAATTTTTGTGTGAAAAATGGGAATTTTTGTGTGAAAAATGGGAATTTTTGAGTAAAAAAATAGGAATTTTTGTGTGAAAAAATGGGATTTTTGTGTGAAAAAATGGGAATTTTTGTGTAAAAAAAGGAAATTTTTGTGTAAAAAATGGGATTTTTAGAGGAAAAAATGGGAATTTTTGGGAGAAAAATGGGAATTTTTATGTAAAAAAATAGGAATTTTTGTGTGAAAAAAATACGAATTTTTGTGTAAAAAAAGTGAATTTTTGAGTAAAAAAAAGGGATTTTTTTATGAAAAAAATGGGGAATTTTTGGGAGAAAAAATGGGAATTTTTTCAGAAAAAATGGGAATTTTTCAGTAAAAAAATGGGAATTTTTGGGTAAAAAAATGGGAATTTTTGTGTGAAAAAATGGGATTTTTTTATGGAAAAAAATGGGAATTTTTGAGTAAAAAATGGGAATTTTTGGGGAAAAAAATGGATTTTTTTATGGAAAAAACGGGAATTTTTGCTTGAAAAAATGGGAATTTTTGTGTGAAAAAAAATGTGATTTTTTTATGTAAAAAATGTGAATTTTTGAGTAAAAAAATGGGAATTTTTATGTAAAAAATGCGAATTTTTGTGTGAAAAATGGGAATTTTTGTGTAAAAAAATGGGAATTTTTTGTGTAAAAAAAGTGAATTTTTGAGTAAAAAAATGGGATTTTTTGAGAAAAAAAGGGAATTTTTGTGGAAAAAATGGGAATTTTTGTGTGAAAAAATGGGAATTTTTATGTGAGAAATGGGAATTTTTGTGTGAAAAAAATGAGATTTTTAGAGGAAAAAATGGGATTTTTTTGAGTAAAAATATGGGAATTTTTGTGTAAAAAATTGTGAATTTTTGAGTAAAAAAATGGGAATTTTTTGTGTGAAAAATGGGAATTTTTACAAAAAAAATGGGAAATTTTATGGGAAAAATGGGACTTTTTTGAGTAAAAAATGGGAATTTTTAAGTAAAAAAATGAGATTTTTTTCAGAAAAAATGGGAATTTTTGTGTAAAAAATCGGAATTTTTTTGTGAAAAAAAAGGGAATTTTTGAGGAATAAAATGGGAATTTTTGTGTGAAAAAATGGGATTTTTTTTCTGAAAAAAATGTGAATTTTTGAGTGAAAAAATGGGAATTTTTGTGTGAAAAAATAGGAATTTTTGTGTGAAAAAATGGGAATTTTTGAGTAAAAAAATGGGATTTTTTTGTGAAAAAAAATGTGAATTTTTGAGTAAAAAAATGGGAATTTTTTGTGTAAAAAAAGTGAATTTTTATGTAAAAAAATTGGAATTTTTGTGAGAAAAAAAGGGCAATTTTTGTGTAAAAAATGTGAATTTTTGTGCGAAAAAATGGGATTTTTTGTGTGAAAAAATGGGATTTTTTGTGTGAAAAATGAAAATTTTTGTGTGAAAAAAATGTGAATTTTTGTGTAAAAATGGGAATTTTTGGGAGGAAAAAATGGGAATTTTTGTGTGAAAAAATGGGAATTTTTGAGGAATAAAATGGGAATTTTTGTGTGAAAAATGGGAATTTTTAAGTAAAAAAATGGGAATTTTTGGGAGAAAAAATGGGAATTTTTGTGTTAAAAAATCAGAATTTTTGGTGTAAAAATGGGAATTTTTGCATTAAAAATGGGAATTTTTGTGTAGAAAATGGAATTTTTGTGTGAAAAAAATGGGAATTTTTACACCAAAAAATGGGAATTTTTGTGTGAAAAAATGTGAATTTTCGGGTAAAAAAATGGGAATTTTTGTGTGAAAAAAATGGGAATTTTTGAGGAATAAAATGGGAATTTTTGTGTGAAAAAACTGGGAATTTTTATGGAAAAAAATGGATTTTTTATGGAAAAAAATGGGAATTTTTGCACAAAAAAAAGGCAATTTTTGTGTAAAAAATGTGAATTTTTGTGTGAAAAAATGGGAATTTTTGGGAGAAAAAATGAGATTTTTATGTGAAAAAAATGCGAATTTTTGTGTAAAAAATGTGAATTTTTGTGTAAAAATGGGAATTTTTGAGTAAAAAAATGGGAATTTTTGAGTAAAAAAATGGGAATTTTTGTGTGAAAAAAATGCGAATTTTTGTGTAAAAAAAGTGAATTTTTGAGTAAAAAAATGGGAATTTTTGTGTAAAAATGGGAATTTTTGAAGGAAAAAATGGGAATTTTTGAGTAAAAAAATGGGATTTTTATGGAAAAATTTGGGACTTTTTGTGTGAAAAAAATATGAATTTTTGTGTGAAAAATGGGAATGTTTCTGTGAAAAAATGGGAATTTTTGGGTAAAAAAATGGGAAATTTTGTGTAAAAATGGGAATTTTTGGGGAGAAAAAATGGGAATTTTTGAGTAAAAAAATGGGGATTTTTGAGTAAAAAAAGGGAATTTTTGGGGAAAAAAATGGGAATTTTTGTGTGAAAAAATGGGAATTTTTGTGTGAAAAAATGGGATTTTTTGTGTGAAAAAAATGGGATTTTTAGAGGAAAAAATGGGAATTTTTGAGTAAAAAAATGGGAATTTTTGTGTGAAAAAAATGCGAATTTTTGTGTGAAAAAAGTGAATTTTTGAGTAAAAAAATGGGAATTTTTGTGTAAAAATGGGAATTTTTGAAGGAAAAAATGGGAATTTTTGAGTAAAAAAATGGGATTTTTATGGAAAAATTTGGGACTTTTTGTGTGAAAAAAATATGAATTTTTGTGTGAAAAATGGGAATGTTTCTGTGAAAAAATGGGAATTTTTGGGTAAAAAAATGGGAAATTTTGTGTAAAAATGGGAATTTTTGGGGAGAAAAAATGGGAATTTTTATGTAAAAAATCGGAATTTTTTTGTGAAAAAATGGGAATTTTTGTGTGAAAAATGGGAATTTTTGGGAGAAAAAAATGGGAATTTTTGTATGAAAAAATGAGTATTTTTGTGTGTAAAAAATGAGTATTTTTGTGTAAAAAAAGACAATTTTTGAATAAAATAATGCAATTTTTTCTCACCGGATGTCGTCGTCGGTGACCACGAAGGCGCGGCAGAGCGGCTGAGCCGTGTTCAACCAAATCCCGGGATTTTTCTCCACGGCCAGGGAATTCTGGCCCGTGATGGGAGCGGAGCCCGAGTGCAGAGCGCTGGCCACGGCCGAAAGCAGCGATTCCCGGCTCGCCCCGGGACCCACACCTGCAAAATTCCCAAAGTTTTCATGGAATTCCAAAGGGAAAAAATTCCCACGTTTTTCTGACAAAATTTGGGGTTTTTTTGGCGAAATTCCAAGGTTTTTTGGTTAAAATTTGAATTTTTTTCGATTTTATTTTGATTTTTTTTGGGTTTAATTCCAACGTTTTATGGAGCAAAATTCCAAGATTTTATTGGAAAAAATTCTGGAATTTTTCTGCCAAAATTTGGGATTTTTTTTGGCGAAATTCCGAGGTTTTTTGGTTAAAATTTGGATTTTTTTCGATTTTATTCTGAATTTTTTTTGGTTCTTTCCTCTTAAAATTCCAAGATTTTAACGGAAAAAATCCTGGAATTCTTCAGCCAAAATTTGGGGTTTTTTTGGTGAAATTCCCACATTTTTTGGTTAAAATTTGAATTTTTTTCGATTTTATTCTGAATTTTTTTTGGTTTTTTGGTTAAAATTTGAATTTTTTTCGATTTTATTCTGAATTTTTTTTGGTTTTTTCCTCTTAAAATTCCAAGATTTTAGCGGAAAAAAGGACCCACACCTGCAAAATTCCCAAGGTTTCCATGGAATTCCAAAGGGAAAAAATTCCCAGGTTTTTCCCCATTTTTCTCCCTTTTTTCCCCCATTTTTCCCCCATTTAATTCCCATTTTATTCCCATTTTATTCCATTTTTCCCTTATTTAATTCCCATTTTATTCCCATTTTTTCTCCATTTTTTTCCCATTTTTTACTCATTTTTTTCCCATTTTTTCCCATTTTTTTCCCATTTTTTCCCCATTTTTCCCCCACTTTTCCCCCATTTTATTCCCAGTTTCCCCCCATTTTTTCCCTTATTTTCCCCATTTATCCCTCATTTTATTCCCATTTTTTCTCCATTTTATTTCCATTTTATTCCCATTTTTTCCCCATTTTTTTCCCATTTTTTTCCCATTTTTTCCCTTATTTTTTCCCCCACTTTTCCCCATTTTATTCCCATTTTTCCCCCGTTTTATTCCCATTTTATTCCCATTTTTTCTCCATTTTATTTCCATTTTTCTCCCATATTTTCCCGTTTTCCTCCATTTTTTCCCCATTTTATTCCAAATTTTTCCCCATTTTATTTCCATTTTTCCCCCATTTTTCCCCCATTTTTCCCCCATTTTATTCCCATTTTATTCCCATTTTTTCCCCATTTTTTCCCTTATTTTCCCCATTTTTCCCCCATTTTTTCCCAATTTTTTCCCCATTTTTCCCCCATTTTTTCCCCCACTTTTCCCCCATTTTATTCCCATTTTCCCCCATTTTATTCCCATTTTTCCCCCATTTTATTCCCACTTTATTCCCACTTTTCCCCCACTTTATTCCCACTTTATTCCCATTTTCCCTTCCCACACCTTGCAATCCCTTGGGCAGCTCCATGGATTTGATGATTTGCTCGCTGACATCCGAAGCGCTCAACCCCTGCAGCCTCTTCTCCCAAAAAAGCTGCAAAAGAACCAAAAAAACCACGGAATTTTCAGCACTTCCCGCTTTTCCCAAAAAAATTCCCACATTTTTTCCTCATTCCCACAAAATCCTGGAATTTGGGGGGATTTTTCCCATTTTTTAATAATTTTTTTCCATTTTTTTTCCATTTTTTTTCCATTTTTTTCCCAATTTTTCCCCATTTTTTCCCATTTTTTCCCAATTTTTTCCCAATTTTTTCCCCATTTTTTCCCAATTTTTTCCCAAATTTTTCCCAATTTTTCCCCAAATTTTTCCCAATTTTTTCCGAAATTTTTCTCAATTTTCCCCAATTTTTTCCCTAATTTTTCCCCATTTTTTCCCCAATTTTTCCAAATTTTTTCCCCAACTTTTCCCCAATTTTCCCCATTTTTTTCCCAAATTTTTCTGAATTTTTTCTCCATTTTCCCCCAATTTTTTCCCAGTTTTTCCCAATTTTTTTCCCAAATTTTTCCAAATTTACTCCATTTTTCCCTAATTTTTCCCAAATTTTCCCCCATTTTTTCCCAATTTTTTCCTGAATTTTTCCCAATTTTTTCCCAATTTTATCCCCATTTTTACCAATTTTTTCCCAAATTTTTCCCAATTTCTTCCCAATTTTTTCCCAATTTTTTCCCCCATTTTTCCCAATTTTTTCACCATTTTCCCTCCATTTTTTCCCAATTTTTTTCCCAATCTTTTCCCAATTTTTCCCCAATTTTCCACATTTTTTCCCAAATTTTTCTGAATTTTTCCTCCATTTTTTCCCAAATTTTTTCCCAATTTTTTCCCAATCTTTTCCCAATTTTCCCCCAATTTTTCCCCAATTTTTCCCCAATTTTATTCCCATTTTTCCCCAATTTTTTCCCAATTTTTTCTCCATTTTTCCCCAATTTTATCCCCAACTTTCCCCCAATTTTTCCCATTTTTTTCCCAATTTATCCTCCATTTTCCCTCCATTTTTTCATCATTTTTCTCCCAATTTTTTCCAAATGTTTTCCAAACTTTTCCCCATTTTATCTCCATTTTTTCCCCATTTTTTCCCAAACTTTTCTCAATTTTTACCAATTTTTTCCCAAATTTTTCCAATTTTTTTCTCCATTTTTCCCCAATTTTTTCCCAGCTTTTCCCCATTTTTTCCCCAATTCTTCCCATTTTTTTCCCAATTTCTCCCAATTTTTTTCCCAAATTTTTCCAAATTTTTTCTCCATTTTTCCCTAATTTTTCCCAATTTATTCCCCATTTTTTCCCAATTTTTTCCCAATTTTTTCCCAATTTTTTCCCAAATTTTTCCCAATTTTTTCCCAAATTTTTCTCAATTTTTCCCAATTTTTTCCCAAATTTTTCTGAAATTTTTTCTCCGATTTCCCTCCATTTTTTCCCAATTTTTTTCCCAATCTTTTCCCAACTTTTCCCCAATTTTTCCCTTTTTTTTTCCATATTTTTCCCAATTTTTTTCACCATTTTTCCCCCATTTTTTCCCAAATTTTTCTGAATTTTTTCCCCATTTTTCCCCAATTTTTCCCATTTTGCCCCAATTTTTCCCCAATTTTCCCGCATTTTTCCCCCAATTTTTTCCCATTTTTCCTCCCATTTTCCCCCATTTTTTCCCCACTTTTCCCCAAAATTTCCCCATTTTTTCCCAAAATTTCCCCATTTTTCCCCCAATTTTCCCCCATTTTTTTCCAAAATTTCCCCATTTTTTTCCCAATTTTTCCCAATTTTTCCCCAATTTTTTCCCAAATTTTTCCCCAATTTTCCCCCAATCTTTCCCCAATTTTCCCCCGATTTTCCCCCAATTTTATCCCAAATTTCACCGAATTTTCACCCAAATTTTTCCCAATTTTCCCCAATTTTTCCCCAATTTTCCCCCAATTTTCCCCCAATGTTTCCCCCAATTTCCCCCCTTTTCCCGCACTCCCACCTGCCGGGGCTGCTCCGTCAGGCGCTGGGGGTCGCTCCTCACCTTGTTGCCGGGGTGATTGGTTACCTTGGTTACCGGCTGTTTGAAGATGGACGCCGTCTGCCGGATCGGCAGCGCCGTGTTCAGGTCCGGCTTCCCCTGGGAAAAACACCCGGGAAAAACACGGGAATCACGCCGGGATTCGGCGGGAAAATGCCGGGATTTGGCGGGAAAAACGTGCCGAGGATTTGGCGGGAAAACGAGGCGGATATGGCGGGAAAACGCGGAAGATTTGGAGAGAAAAGTGGGAATGAGGCAAGGAGTTGGCGGGAAAATGGGGAGGATTTGGAGGGAAAACGAGGGAGGATTTGGAGGGAAAATGGGGAGGATTTGGAGGGAAAATGGGGAGGATTTGGAGGGAAAACGAGGGAGGATTTGGAGGGAAAATGGGGAGGATTTGGCGGGAAAAGCAGGAATAAGTTGAAAATTTGGCGGGAAGAGGGGGGGATTTGGCGGGAAAAATGTGGAGGATTCACCAGGAAAAGTGGGAATGAAGTGGAAATTTGGCGGGAAAATGGGGGGATTTGGTGGGAAAATGGGGGGGATTTGGCAGGAAAAGGGGGATGAAGGTGGAGTTTTGGCGGGAAAAACGTGCAGAGGATTTGGAGGGAAAATGGGGGGATTTGGCGGGAAAAACGGGCAGAGGATTTGGCGGGAAAATGAGGGGAAAAGAATAGGAAAAAATGGGACAAAAATTGGGGAAAAAATAGGAAAAATCAGGAAAAACATTGAAAAAAATGGGAAAAAAATGGGGAAAAAATTAGGAAAAATCAGGAAAAAAAATGGAAAAAAAGTGGGGGAAAAAGGGAAAAAACGGGGAAAAAATGGGAAAAAATGGGAAAAAAATGCAAAAAAATGGGAATAAATGGGAAAAAATGGGGAAAAAATGAGGAAAAAATGCAAAAAAAATGGGAAAAAATGGGAAAAAATGGGGAAAAATGGGGAAAAAAATGGGGAAAAAAATGGGAAAAAATGGGAAAAAAATGGGGGAAAAAAATGGGGAAAAAATGGGGAAAAAAATGCAAAAAAAATGCAAAAAAATGGGAAAAAATGGGGAAAAAAATGCGGAAAAAATGGGAAAAAAATGGGGGAAAAAATGGGGAAAAAACTGCAAAAAAAAAGCAAAAAAAAAGGGAAAAAATGGGGAAAAAATGGGAAAAAAATGGGAAAAAATGGGAAAAAAATGGGGAAAAAAAATGTAAAAAAAATGGGAATAAATGGGAAAAAAATGGGAAAAAAATGGGAAAAAATGGGGAAAAAATGCAAAAAAATGGGAAAAAATGGGAAAAAATGGGGAAAAAAATGGGGGAAAAAGTGGGAAAGAATTGGGAAAAATTTGGGGAAAAAATGGGAAAAAAATGGGAAAAAAATGGGAAAAAAATGCAAAAAAATGGGAAAAAAGTGTGAAAAAAATGGAAATAAATGGGAAAAAACCGGGGAAAGTTTGGGCAAACTTTTGGAATTGTTCTGGCTGACCTTGTTGGGGTTGAGGGCGTCGTTCCTCAGGCGTTGTTTGTTCTTTTGCAGCTTGCTGGGCATCATCTTCCCCGTGCGGAAATCGAAGGAGCTCAGATCCACGGAATTGCCGAGGTAGCGAGCCAGCTGCGGCTTGCTGCGGAACTTCTTCCCACTGGGGCTGCCAAACAGGGATAAAATAACTGGAATTGCTGCTTTGGACAAAATGGGAATATTGGGGGGGTGCAGGGGGATTCTTGGGAATTTTTTGGGAATTTTTTGGGATTTTTTGGGGATTTTTTGGGATTTTTAGGGATTTTTTTTGAATTTTTTAGGGTTTTTTTGGGGTTTTTTTTGGGAATTTTTTGGGGATTTTTTGGGAATTTTTTGAGATTTTTTGGGGATTTTTTGGGAATTTTTGGGGATTTTTTTGGAATTTTTGGGGATTTTTTTGGGAATTTTTTAGGGTTTTTTTCGATTTTTTTTTATTTTTTAGGGATTTTTGGGGGGATTTTTTAGGGATTTTTTTGCGATTTTTTGAGATTTTTTTGGGATTTTTTGCAGATTTTTTGGGGAATTTTTGGGAATTTTTGGGGATTTTTTGGAGATTTTTTGCTGCGGAACTTCTTCCCACTGGGGCTGCCAAACAGGGATAAAATAACTGGAGTTGCTGCTTTGGACAAAATGGGAATTTTGGGGGGTGCAGGGGGATTCTTGGGAATTTTTTGGGAATTTTTTGAGAATTTTTGGGGGATTTTTTCGATTTTTTTTGAATTTTTTAGGGTTTTTTTAGGGGATTTTTCAGGGATTTTTTGGGGATTTTTTTGGGATTTTTTGGAAATTTTTTGTGGATTTTTTGGGAATTTTTTGAGATTTTTTGGGGATTTTTTGGGAATTTTTTGGGGATTTTTTTGGAATTTTTTGGGATTTTTTTAGGGGTTTTTTCGATTTTTTTTTGATTTTTTAGGGATTTTTGGGGGGATTTTTTAGGGAGTTTTTTGCGATTTTTTGAGATTTTTTGGGGATTTTTTTGCGATTTTTTGGGGATTTTTGGGGAATTTTTGGGGATTTTTTTGAGGATGTTTTGGAGAATTTTTTGGGATTTTTTGGGATTTTTTAGCGATTTTTTGGGGATTTTTGGGGAATTTTGGGGGATTTTTTTGAGGATTTTTTGGAGAATTTTTTGGGATTTTTTGGGATTTTTTTGAGAATTTTTTGGGGAATTTTTAGGGATTTTTTTGGGATTTTTTGAGATTTTTTTTGAATTTTTTAGGGGTTTCTTGGGAATTTTTTGAGGATTTTTTTAGAAATTTTCGGGGATTTTTTGGGAATTTTTGGGGATTTTTTGGAGGATTTTTTGCTGCGGAACTTCTTCCCACTGGGGCTGCCAAGCAGGGATAAAATAACTGGAGTTGCTGCTTTGGACAAAATGGGAATTTTGGGGGGGTGGAGAGGGATTCTTGGGAATTTTTTGGGATTTTTTTGGGATTTTTTGGGATTTTTTGGAGATTTTTTTGGGATATTTTGGGGATTTTTTGGGGATTTCTTGGGGATTTTTGGGGATTTTTTGGAGAATTTTTTGGGATTTTTTGGGATTTTTTTGCGATTTTTTGGGGATTTTTTAAGGTTTTTTTGGGATTTTTTGGGATTTTTTTGCGATTTTTGGGGGATTTTTTGGGGATTTTTTGGAGTTTTTTAAGGAATTTTTGGGGATTTTTTTGAGATTTTTTAGGGAATTTTTGGGGAATTTTTTGGGGATTTTTTGGGGATTTTTTGGGAATTTTTGGGGATTTTTTGGAGATTTTTTGCTGCAGAACTTCTTCCCACTGGGGCTGCCAAACAGGGATAAAAAAACTGGAGTTGCTGCTTTGGACAAAATGGGAATTTTGGGGGGTGCAGGGGGATTCTTGGGATTTTTTTGGGATTTTTTTCGATTTTTTTAGGGGTTTTTTCGATTTTTTTTGGATTTTTTAGGGGTTTTTTTGGGGGATTTTTTAGGGATTTTTTGAGGATTTTTTGAGATTTTTTGGGGATTTTTTTGGAATTTTTTGGGGATTTTTTAGGGATTTTTTTGGAATTTTTTGGGATTTTTTTTGGAATTTTTTGGAGATTTTTTAAGGTTTTTTTGGGGATTTTTTAAGGGGTTTTTTTGGGATTTTTTGGGGATTTTTTGGGAATTTTTTGGGGATTTTTTTGCGATTTTTTAGGGAATTTTTTGGGATTTTTTTGAGATTTTTTAGGGAATTTTTGAGGAACTTTTAAGGAATTTTTTGGGGATTTTTTGCAATTTTTTAAGGAATTTTTGGGGATTTTTTAAGGAACTTTTTGCAAATTTTTTTGAGATTTTTTTAGGGAATTTTTGGGGAATTTTTGGGAATTTTTGGGGATTTTTTGGAGATTTTTTGCTGCGGAACTTCTTCCCACTGGGGCTGCCAAACAGGGATAAAAAAACTGGAATTGCTGCTTTGGACAAAATGGGAATTTTGGGGGGGTGCAGGGGGATTCTTGGGAATTTTTTGGGATTTTTTTGGGATTTTTTGGGAATTTTTTGAGATTTTTTTAGGGGTTTTTTCGATTTTTTTTTGATTTTTTAGGGGTTTTTTTGGGGGATTTTTTAGGGATTTTTTGGGGATTTTTTAAGGTTTTTTTGGGATTTTTTTTGGGACTTTTTGGGAATTTTTGGGGATTATTTGGGGATTTTTTTCGATTTTTTTTGAATTTTTTAGGGTTTTTTTTGGGATTTTTTAGGGATTTTTTGGGGATTTTTTGGGAATTTCTTTGGGAATTTTGGGGGATTTTTTGGGAATTTTTTGGGATTTTTTGGAGAATTTTTAAGGATTTTTTGGGATTTTTTTGGGATTTTCTGGGATTTTTTTTGGGATTTTTTGGGGATTTTTTGGGGATTCTTTGGGGATATTTTGGGATTTTTTTGAGAATTTTTTTGGATTTTATGGGAATTTTTTGGGGATTTTTTTGCGATTTTTTGGGGATTTTTTTGGAATTTTTGGAGAATTTTTGGGGATTTTTTGTGAATTTTTGGGGGATTTTTTGGGATTTTTTTTTGAATTTTTTGGGAATTTTTTGGGGATGTTTTTGAGATTTTTTTTGGAATTTTTTGGGGATTTTTTGGGGATTTTTTTGGATTTTTGGGGAATTTTTGGGGGATTTTTTGGTGGATTTTTTGGGATTTTTTAGGAATTTTTTGGGGATTTTTTGGGGGTTTTTTGAGATTTTTTTTTAATTTTTTAGGGGTTTTTTGGGATTTTTTTGGGATTTTTTTGGAATTTTTTGGGAATTTTTTGGGATTTTTTTGGAATTTTTTAGGGGTTTTTTTGGGATTTTTTAGGGATTTTTTGGGGATTTTTTGGGAATTTCTTTGGGAATTTTGGGGGATTTTTTGGGAATTTTTTGGGATTTTTTGGAGAATTTTTAGGGATTTTTTGGGATTTTTTTGGGATTTTCTGGGATTTTTTTTGGGATTTTTTGGGGATTTTTTGGGGATTCTTTGGGGATATTTTGGGATTTTTTTGAGAATTTTTTGGGATTTTATGGGAATTTTTTGGGGATTTTTTTGCGATTTTTTGGGGATTTTTTTGGAATTTTTGGAGAATTTTTTGGGATTTTTTGGGAATTTTTGGGGGATTTTTGGGGATTTTTTTTTGAATTTTTGGGGAATTTTTTGGGGATGTTTTTGAGATTTTTTTTGGAATTTTTTGGGGATTTTTTGGGGATTTTTTTGGATTTTTGGGGAATTTCTTGGGGATTTTTTGGTGGATTTTTTGGGATTTTTTAGGGATTTTTTGGGGATTTTTTTTGGAATTTAGGGATTCATTAGGGAATTTTTGGGTTTTTTAGGGAATTTTTTGGGGTTTTTATGGAATTTTGGAAGGGAAAAATTGGGATTTGGGGATTTTTATGGAATTTTGGGGAGATTTTGGGGCTTTTTTAGGGAATTTTGGATGGAAAAAATCGGAATTCCGACTTTTTTTTGGGATTTGGGGGGAGTTTCAAACCTTTTAATCCCAAATTTTTAGGATAATGAGGAAAAACCGGGAAAACTCGTCCAGCCGGAAATTTCGGGATTGACAAAAAATATTCATTAAATATGCAAATGAGCTCATTTACATAATAACCTTCATTTTTTTCCCCACTCCTTCTGGATCCGAGTTGTTTTTCCCGACTTGAATTCCCAAGAAAAGTTGGAATTTCGGGTTTGGAGTTTGGATTTGCCCCAAATCCCAAATTTTTCTCCCCAAAAAATTCCATAAAAACCCCAAAAATTCCATTAAAAAGCCCAAAATTCTCCCAAAAATTCCATAAAACCCCAAAAATTCCCAAAATTCTCCCAAAAAATTCCATAAAAATCCCCAAATCCCAAATTTTCCCCTCCAAAATTCCTCCATAAAACCCCAAAAATTCCCAAAATTCTCCCAAAAAATTCCATAAAAATCCCCAAATCCCAAATTTTCCCCTCCAAAATTCCATAAAAACCAAAAAAAATCCCTAAAAACCCCAAAAATTCCCCCAAAAATCCCAAAATTCTCCCAAAAAAATCCATAAAAATCCCCAAATCCCAAATTTTCCCTTCCAAAATTCCATAAAAACCCTCAAAAATTCCCTAAAAAAACCAAAAATTCCCTAAAAAAGCCCAAAATTCTCCAAAAAATTCCATAAAAATCCCCAAATCCCAAATTTTCCCCTCCAAAATTCCTTTAAATACTCAAAAAAATCCCTAAAAACCGCAAAAAATTCCATAAAAATCCCAAATCCAAATTTTTCCTCTCCAAAATTCTGGAAAAACCCCAAAAATTCCCAAAAAATCCCAAAATTCTCCCAAAAATTCCCTAAAAATCCCCAATTCCCAAATTTTCCCCTCCAAAATTCCATAAAAACCCTCAAAAATTCCCTAAAAAAAACCCCAAAATTCCTTAAAAATTCCAAAAAAATCCTTAAAAAACCCCTAAAAATTCCATAAAAATCCCCCAAAATTCCTGGATCGGGATTTGGGATCACTCCGGATAAAACCCCGGGATAATCTGGGATAAACACCGGAATAATTCGGGATAAACTCCTGGATAAAATCCAGGGATAAACACCGGGATAACTCGGGATAAAAACCGGGATAATTTGGAATAAACACCGCGATGAAACCCGGGAGAATTCGGGATAAAATCCCGGGAATCCCCTCAGAAAAGGAACCGGAACCATCCCGGGACAGGAGCCCCGGTTCCCCCTCAGAGAGAACCGGAACAGTCCCGGGACAAAACCCTGAGCTCCTCCCGGGACAGGAGCCCCGGTTCCCCCTCAGAGAGAACCGGAACAATCCCGGGACAGGAGCCCGAGCTCCTCCCGTGAGAGGAGCCCCGGTTCCTCCTCAGAGAACCGGAACAGTCCCGGGACAGGAGCTCCGGTTCCCCCTCAGAGAGAACCGGAACAGTCCCGGGACAAAACCCCGGTTCCCCCTCAGAGAAGGAACCGGAACCATCCCGGGACAGGAGCCCCGGCTCCCCCTCAGAGAGAACCGGAACAGTCCCGGGACAAAACCCCGAGCTCCTCCGGGGAAAAAACCCCGGGTTTCCCCTCAGAGAACCGGAACAGTCCCGGGACAGGAGCCCCGGTTCCCCCTCAGAGAAGGAACCGGAACCTCCCCGAGCTCTCCCCGTGACAGAAACCCCGGTTCCCCCTCAGAGAGAACCGGAACAGTCCCGGGACAAAACCCCGAGATATTCCCGTGACAGGAGCCCCGGTTCCCCCTCAGAGAAGGAAGCGGAATCTCCTCGAGCTCCTCCGGGAACAAAACCCCGGTTTTCCCCTCAGAGAAGGAACCGGAATCCCCCCGAGCTCCCCCCGTGAGAGGAGCCCCAGTCCCCCCTCAGAGAGGACAGGAACCGCCCCCGTGACAGGAGCCACGGTTCCCCCTCAGAGAGAACCGGAACAGTCCCGGGACAAAACTCTGAGCTCCCCCCGTGACAGGAACTCGGAATCCCCCTCAGAGAAGGAACCGGAATCTCCCCGAGCTCCCCCCGTGACAGAAGTCCGGTTCCCCCTCAGAGAGAACCGGAACAGTCCCGGGACAAAACCCCGAGCTCCTCCCACGAAAGTAACTCGGAATCCCCCTCAGAGAAGGAACCGGAACCTCCCCAAGCTCCTCCGGGGACAGGAGCCCGGTTCCCCCTCAGAGAGAACCGGAAAAGTCCCGGGACAAAACCCCGAGCTCCTCCGGGGACACAAGTCCCGGTTTTCCCCTCAGAGAAGGAACCGGATTCTCCCCGAGCTCCTCCGGGGAGAGGAGCCCCTGTTTCCCCCTCAGAGGGAACCGGAACCGCCCCCGTGACAGGAGCTCCGGCTCCCCCTCAGAGAGAACCGGAACAGTCCCGGGACAAAACCCCGAGTTCCTCCGGGGACAGAAGCCCCGGTTCTCCCTCAGAGAAAACCGGAACAACCCCGTGCCAGAAGCCCGAGTTCCCCCCGTGACAGGAGCCCGGTTCCCCCCAGAGAGAACCGGAACAACCCCATGACAGAAGCCGAGCTCCCCCCGGGACAGGAACCCAGTTCCCCCTCCTCAGAGAGAACCGGAATAGTCCCGAGACAGGAGCCCGGTTCTCCCTCAGAGAGAACCGGAACAGTCCCGGGACAAAACTCCGAGCTCCTCCCGTGAAAGTAACTCGGAATCCCCCTCAGAGAAGGAACCGGAACCTCCCCGAGCTCCCCCCGTGACAGAAGCTCCGGTTCCCCCTCAGAGAGAACCGGAACAGTCCCGGGACAAAACCCCGAGCTCCTCCGGGGACAAAAAACCCGGTTTTCCCCTCAGAGAAGGAACCGGATTCTCCCCGAGCTCCTCCGGGGACAGAAGCCTCGGTGTCCCCTCAGAGAGACCCGGAACCGCCCCCGTGACAGGAGCCCGGTTCCCCCTCAGAGAGAACCGGAACAGTCCCGGGACAAAACCCCGAGGTCCCCCCGTGCCAGAAGCCCCGGTTCTCCCTCAGAGAAAACCGGAACAACCCCGTGCCAGAAGCCCGAGCTCCCCCCGTGACAGGAGCCCGGTTCCCCCCGCTCAGAGAGAACCGGAACCACCCGGTGACAGAAGCTCCGGTTCTCCCTCAGAGAGAACCGGAACAGTCCCGGGACAAAACTCCGAGCTCCTCCTGTGAAAGTAACTCGGAATCCCCCTCAGAGAAGGAACCGGAACCTCCCCGAGCTCCTCCGGGGACAGGAGCCCGGTTCCCCCTCAGAGAGAACCGGAAAAGTCCCGGGACAAAACCCCGAGCTCCTCCGGGGATACAAGTCCCGGTTTTCCCCTCAGAGAAGGAAGCGGAATCTCCCCGAGCTCCTCCGGGGACAGGAGCCCCACTTTTCCCCTCAGAGGGAACCGGAACCGCCCCCGCGACAGGAGCCCTGGTTCTCCCTCAGAGAGGACCGCAACAGTCCCGGGACAAAACCCCGAGCTCCTCCGGGGACACAAGTCCCGGTTTTCCCCTCAGAGAAGGAACCGGATTCTCCCCGAGCTCCTCCGGGGACAGGAGCCCCTGTTTTCCCCTCAGAGGGAACCGGAACCGCCCCCGCGACAGGAGCCCTGGTTCTCCCTCAGAGAGAACCGGAACAGTCCCGGGACAAAACCCCGAGTTCCTCCGGGGACAGAAGCCCCGGTTCTCCCTCAGAGAAAACCGGAACAACCCCGTGCCAGAAGCCCGAGTTCCCCCCGTGACAGGAGCCCGGTTCCCCCCGCTCAGAGAGAACCGGAACCAGCCGGTGACAGAAGCTCCGGTTCTCCCTCAGAGAGAAGCGGAACAGTCCCGGGACAAAACTCCGAGCTCCTCCCGTGAAAGTAACTCAGAATCCCCCTCAGAGAAGGAACCGGAACTTCCCCGAGCTCCTCCAGGGACAGGAGTCCGGTTCCCCCTCAGAGAGCACCGGAACCGCCCCCGTGACAGGAGCCCGGCTTCCCCCCAGAGAGAACCGGAACAACCCCATGACAGAAGCCGAGCTCCCCCCGGGACAGGAACCCAGTTCCCCCTCCTCAGAGAGAACCGGAATAGTCCCGAGACAGGAGCCCGGTTCCCCCTCAGAGAGAACCGGAACGGTCCCGGGACAAAGCTCCGAGCTCCCCCCGTGAAAAGAACTCGGAATCCCCCTCAGAGAAGGAACCGGATCCTCCCTAAGCTCCTCCGGGGACAGGAGTCCGGTTCCCCCTCAGAGAGAACCGGAACCATCCCGGGACAAAACCCCGAGCTCCTACGGGGACAGAAGTCCCGGTTTTCCCCTCAGAGAAGGAACCGGATTCTCCCCGAGCTCCCCCCGTGCCAGAAGCCCCGGTTCTCCCTCAGAGAAAACCGGAACAACCCCGTGCCAGAAGCCCGAGCTCCCCCCGTGACAGGAGCCCGGTTCCCCCCGCTCAGAGAGAACCGGAACCACCCGGTGACAGAAGCTCCGGTTCTCCCTCAGAGAGAACCGGAACAGTCCCGGGACAAAACTCCGAGCTCCTCCCGTGAAAGTAACTCGGAATCCCCCTCAGAGAAGGAACCGGAACCTCCCCAAGCTCCTCCGGGGACAGGAGTCCGGTTTCCCCTCAGAGAGAACCGGAAAAGTCCCGGGACAAAACCCCGAGCTCCTCCGGGGACACAAGTCCCGGTTTTCCCCTCAGAGAAGGAACCGGATTCTCCCCGAGCTCCTCCGGGGACAGAAGCCTCGGTGTCCCCTCAGAGAGACCCGGAACCGCCCCCGTGACAGGAGCCCGGTTCCCCCTCAGAGAGAACCGGAACAGTCCCGGGACAAAACCCCGAGGTCCCCCCGTGCCAGAAGCCCCGGTTCTCCCTCAGAGAAAACCGGAACAACCCCGTGCCAGAAGCCCAAGCTCCCCCCGTGACAGGAGCTCGGTTCCCCCCCCTCAGAGAGAACCGGAACAACCCCGTGACAGGAGCCGGCCGTGCCAGAGCCATGGCGGAAGCGAGCGGGCTGTGACAGCCGCGCCGGCGGCGTGTACGGAGCAACCCCAGCGTCCCTTCCCAACCTCGGCTCCGAGAGCTCCGGAGACTCGGAAACCCCACCGCGATCCTTCGAGCCCTTACCTGAAGTAATAAACATCGCTTTTACCGGCGCTCAGGCCCGATTTACGGATCACCTCTTCCTTTTTCCAACCTGGAGGCAAAGCGGGACAATCCATCCTGCCGGGTTTCTCCATACGCCGGGCCGGCGAGACG